TCCCATCTCTGATTTTTCAAAACTCTCTGGAAAGGATGCAATTCCACGAAAAACAGGTCAAGATATTTTTACATAATTAAAATTAACACCCTCAAGGAGTCGCAGTCTCTGTCTCCATGCTCACCCACTGCCGCATCCTACATCCCTCTCCGTCCTCCCACACACCTTCCAGACACCTTCCAGCCACCTGCGCCCACGCTCCCCTCCCCCCTCCCCACCCCTTCCTGTGCTCCTCCCTCCTGGTCCTCCCCCCACACCTCCATCCTCTGCACCTTCATCCCTCTCCTGTGCGCCCAGCTTTCCTCCAGCCTCATGCTCCCCACATCCCATATGTTCTGTTCTCCAACATGAATTTTAAAATCCGTGTTCTAGACCTCTCTCTTTCTGCTATGTTGATGTCGTTATTCAGGAGCCGTCCTGCCTGCCCTCCCTCCCTCCCTTCCTTTCCCGAAGTCACTTCATCCTAGACCTGCCCAGCTGGGCCATGGAGTCTGGAACGCTCTCTCCCCCTGTCTTCCCCAGCTCCGTTCTCTCTCCACCCTGCCTGGCGGAGTCCTTCTCCCCTACGGGGCTCTTGCATCACAGGCTTGCAGCTTTGTCCCCTGGGACACTAGACTGTCCTTGCTTTGGCAGACTGACGGATTGGTTTCTGGGAATCTTTGTGGGCTCTTTAGGACACCCCACTGGGCCTCCCCGCGGTTCGGGATCCTTCCTCCGCCGCTCTTCCTTAGCCTCCTACGGAACTGTCCCATGACTCTCTGTCGCTGGCCCCATTCTCTGCCCCATCTACGCATTCTCCTTCCTGCTGCCACCCCACATCCTCCCGGAACCACACGCTTTCTTACCCTCACCTGAGGAGGGAAGCTCCGACTTACAGGATTTGCATGTCGGGCTGTGGAGGCAAAGAGGAGGGAGAAGCAGAAAGAGGTTCAACAGGCACAGGCTTCATGGGAAACTCGTGACAGGCCCAGCGGGCCCTTCTTGGGGGAGCACCCCAGGCCCAGGCCGTCCCCACCCCCTCCCCCCTCTCCCTGAGGTTGCCAGACCTCTCAGACCTGGAGTCCGCCTTCCTGCACTTGACCTTCTTGCCTGTTGGGAGAGAGAGAGACAACACAAGGAGACAGGACAGAGGACATGAGGATGTGGACAAAAGCCAGCAGGGGGACGATGGGCACCCAGGGACACCCAGGCAGGGGTCACACTTACTGATGATGATGAGGATGCCCAGCAGGAACAATATGGTAGCCAGAGTCATGCCCACAGTCTGCACCGTGTTGTAGTCTGGGGAAGAGGGTGGGGGCGGTCAAGGCCAGGCCAGCACCTCAGCCCCACCGGAGCCCCGGTCCCGGCTCCAGGCTGCCAGGCTGGGGCCCAGAATTCAGGGGTGCTGCAGGCCGGCGTTAGTGTGAGGATGGAGGGCGTGGGCTTGGGCACCACTAGCGCCCCCCGAGCTCTCTATCCTCTACCCTCCCCTCCTGCCCTCTCCCTCTGGATTTTCCAACCCTAGATATATAGAGAATAATTTCCCTCTACTGCCTCCTCCCTGGTCCTAGTCCTGCCACCATTGTCACCCGTCTGGGCTATGGCAACAGCCCTCTCTGTGGTCTTGCTGCCCTGCCCCAGTCCCTACCCCCCACAGCCACAAGGACTCCCCAGCTCAGGGCCCTCCCCTGGCTCCCACCGCACTCCACAGGAAAACCAAGAAGTCCACTCCTTGGCCCTCAAGACCCTGTGTAATCTAGTCCCTCTTCTTCCCAAAACCTCATCCCACTCCACGCTCCTCGCCAATCCTCTACTCCAGCCCCACCGGCCTCCCTGCTGTTCCCGGAGCATATCAGCCTTGGTCCTACCTCAGGGCCTTTGCACTTGCTATTCCCTCTGCCTGAAAGCTCTTCCTCCAAATACCCACAGGTCTCCTCCCCTCACCAATATCCGGGCTTTATTCAAGTGTGAGTGAAACCTTCTTTGGCTGTCCTATGTAGAATTTTCCATCCTCTCCACAACACTTTCTAATCTCATTCCCTCCTTTATCTTCCTTCACAAGAATTAATCGTATCTCATATTCTTGTCTAATAAGACTTTTATCTAGTATATAATTTTCATATTTATTTTCTTGAGTATCTGTCTCTTTCCCCTTGAGCGTAAGGCCACGTAGGTCAGGAGTTCGTGTCTGTCCTGTTCACTGCCGTGTCCCCAAGTGCCCGGAGCTTCGCGGGCACGTGCTCAGTAGCTGTTTGTTGAATGTGAATTTACGGAGCAGCCGCTCTGTACCGGCATGGCCCAGGCCTCTGCCCTCAAAGAGGTGACTTTCCTATTGTGACGAAGCACTACACAAATAAATGAAAATTCTAAAAACAAAGTCATGTGACCACCGTGGCTGTGGTGTGGCTCCTCTTGCCGGGGGACCAAGGGGCGCCTCTCCTCTCTGAGCAGAGCAGCCAGTGTTAGATCTGAGGCCTGAAGAAGGGAAAGGAGCCTTGGCCCGCTGCGTGGAGAGCTAGGGGAGGAGTATTCCTGGCAGAGGGAACAGCAAGTGCGAAGGCCCTAGGACGGGAAAGAAACTGACGTGTAGGCGGAACAGGATGAATGAGCAAAGGGTTGGGTGGGGGCAACAGGAGGGTGTTTAGGGGGGAAACTGGGGCCAGATCCGCCAGACCTGGGGAAACTTCTTTGAGCGTCAGTGCCGTGGGGATGATTTAATGGTGTCATCCAGGTAAATCTTTCCCACAGTCCTCACGAGTGGGAACTATTACTATCCCTTGTTTACAGAAGGGCCCAGAGAGGCAAAGTCATTTGCCCAAGGCCACACAGCTAGAGAGCGGATGGGGCAGGATCCAAATCCAGCAGCCTGGCCTCTGAGTCATTGCTTTTAAGGCTTTCCTTTGTCGGCCTCTCTGATGACTCCAAGGCACCAGCCCAGTGTCCTGGTGGGGCCTGAAGGGGGCTCAGAGAGAGTGTGAGACCCCATCCCCAATCTGGTTCTTCCCTCCATGAACCCAGCTCACGTGAACTGTACCCCACATGGCCACATGGCCAGTGGCCGAAGCCACATATCACTTGGCCATAGCTGAATCCACTTCAGCAGGGCCCCGTGGGGATCTGTAGTCACCCCTCCCTCCAGCCCAGGGTACCCCCATTCCCAAATCCAACACTCACCATAGTAAAATGGGTCAGGTTCCTCAGGAGCTTTGGGAAGGGAGGCAGAGAGAGAGAGAAAGAGAACATTCAACGCTAGGTTTCTTAGCATTTTTCAGGATCCAAATGGGGCCAGTGGCCCCAATAGTGTCTTTGTGGAGATCAGGTAAAGATGATCTAGCCTCGTGGCAGGACACAAGGCCTGAAGAGTGGAACAGAGGCTGGATTCCAGCCCCTACACACTCCGTCGGTCAGTGCCGTCCCATAGGCAGTGCACGATCCAACCAACCGTACATGGCAGTCCTGCTCCTAGACCCCTGCGGAGGTCTGATGTTAAGGACTCATTCCCTGAAAAACACATACGCACTCCTATTTGCATATGACGCCCAGGGGTTAACAGACCCCATTCCCGCTGGTGGACCACGGAACATGACAGCTTCCCCTGATGATGCCCTAAAACTTCCCAGTCATCTGAGAGTGCCCATGGGCGGGTGCCGTGGCTACTGCTCTCACCCAGTGGCCCCTGCCACCACATGCAGTACGGGGGAGCCATGCTGACTCATATCTCATATCACTATATTTTTAAGACACTATTGGTTGTAAGATTCAAAATTAATTTTGCAACGGCTTTCCCTGCATGTGTGTATGCGTGCATGTGTGTGGAACTCTGCCACGTGAAAAATAACTCATCGTTAGAAGTCTCGCCCCCATTTCAGAAATGTTACTGTGTGGATAGAGTGTGTGTGTGTGTGTGTGTGTGTGTGTGTGTGTGTGTGTCTGTGAATTCTCTTGCCCCCGTCTCCCACCTCCCTGCCCTCAACCGTATTTCCCTTCAGGAGAGCTCAGAACACCATTCCCATTCAAGAAGTCCATCCTCGCGGCTCATTCCTCTGACAGCTCTTGTTACACTTGGCCTTGTCTGGAGCAGAATTGTGCAATGTCTGCCACCCGGGGGGCGGTCGGGGGTACCAGGGTAATGCCAGGTGGAGTCCTTCATGCTCTTCTCCCTCCTTCCACACTCAGGAAGGATGGCTTCCTTGTGGTTAGGTGGGATCATGTGACTCATTCTGGCCAAATAATTGTGAGAGAAAGTGTCATTGTCATTTCAGGGCTGGATCATGTGAGTGCCCATGCAAGAGCTCTCTTTTGCCTCTGGTCTGGTGACCTGGCTGTTCAAGATGGCGGCTGCCCCAGTTTTTTTGGTGACCGGTCAACCCGTGATGGACACGTAGCGTAAGCGAGAAGCGAACGCTGGCTGTCCTCAGCCCCTGGGACTTTGGGTACTTTTTGTTACCGCAGCGTGCTCTAGCTAGCCTATACTGACTGATAGAGGCGGCCCTGTGGCAAGACCTTGAATAGCACTGGTTCCCACAGTGTGTCCGTTGTCACACCATGTGGTTTTCTCCTTTCTGCATTTATCTAACCAGCAATGGGTCGCACTGCCCCGCGCAACACAGCACTTTGCAGCTGTCAACCCATTTCATCTCCACAGCAACTGTCTGATGTAGGTGCTATCTTCACCCCCATGTCACAAAACGGGGACACTGGACTCAGAAAAGCAGAGTCAGTTGCTTAAGATTGTTTTTATGCTCGCCTTCCATTTAAGGCAAAAGAAGAGTAATTTTCCATTTGTTGGGGGGATACCAAATAAAGCTAATTAAGTTTTTAAAAAGCCAATCCTTTGAAGGAAAAATATTAACTGGCAGCGTGGGGAACATTTGAATAGGGCAAAAATCATGAAGGTGGTACTCAAACGTGTCGAGATGGGGAAATATTGTTTCTGGAGTTACTTGTGCTCTGTCTTAGCTCCCCCTCCCAGACAGTGGATAAACTTGTTTGACTCATCTCTGCTGCTGATCCTGATATCTATAAAAGGCTGTCCAGTTTCCTGGAATGAATGAAGGAATGAATGAATGGGAGGCCCTCCTAGGCTGCAGGAGGCTGCTGCACCAAAGGTGGAGCAGTTGGGTTATCTCACTTTCGTCTCTTGGTTCTCCGCACACCCTCCCTCCCCCAAAGTTATCAGGAACCCACTGGGTGAGCTCCTGTCCCAGAATCCTCTTTGGTCCCTCCCTGGGTGCTCAGTGCTTCACGCAGAAGACCCTCTTCTGGTCCCTGCTGCCCCAGCAACCTGGGTCCTCCGGGTGAGGCTGGGCTAAGGGTGGAGCCAGGAGGCAGGAAAAGGAATGTGCATTACTCCTGGCCAGTAGCCAAGGAGAGATCAGGAAGGAGGTGGTTGCTATGGCAACTGGGGCATCTTGAGAGGTGAAGAGAGGTGATGGGTCCAGGCACCCCGGGCTGGGTGGGGTCCTGTGTGAGGCTTGGATTTCTAACTCTGTGCCCAATCTGAACCCCCTCTCCTCCTTTGGCACCTCCTCTTGTTGCCCCTGCGGGACTGGCTTCTGGCCAAGCTGAGGGTCCCTCTCAGGGGCGGGGACCCAGGCATAGTTGTGCTAATGCACCGACCCCTTTCTGTGGGCCCCTAATTCTCCCTCCTGCTCTCTGGCAGGAGTGGAGACAGCCTCACCTCCTTCCCCCTCGCTCCCCAACAATTCATTAATTAGTTTCCTTAAGCAGCTTGCGATGCACAACACGCTTTTCCTCCCCCGGGATTTCCCAAGACCTGCGGTCCCCTCTCACGCTGTGACTTGGAGAAGGGGGGAGCAGAGGAGGGGAGGATGGATGAGGAGTCTGCCCTCCCACCTCTGCCGTCTGCTGCCATCGATCCTGCTAACCACCATCTCTGCGAAAAGAAGCCCTGGGTTCCCGCCAGGGCCAGGCCTGCTGCCTCAGCCCTGCCCCCTCTCCCCAGGGTGGCTTCCAGCCTCTGCAGCCCCCCCACCCCGCCCTGCTTCGGATTCTGCAGATCCGGCTGAGTGTAGCAGCCCCCGGCTGCTGGGAAAGGGGGAAGGGAAGGAGAGAGAGGAGTGGGCTTGGGGTTCCCTTCGCTGCCAGGGGCTCCTCACCACCCCAGCCCATGCCCCTGGCCCCGTCCCCAGTGCTGGAAACATTTGCCATGCCATGACCCCCCCCCCATTAAAGCATTCTATCCCTGTCCTGCTGCAGAAGCAGGTTCAGACAAGGGGGCTGTTAGGGGACAATGGTGGGAGAGGGATTAAGGGGGTGCATAACCGGGCTAATGGGTGTGAAATATAAACCTGTGTGCGGCTGGATGGGGACCGGGAAGGACCTGTGTGTGCACACCCAGGTGTTCCTCCTGGACTGGAAAACACCCTGGATGGGGGCTGGGAAGGAGGGTCCCGCCACCCTATTCCCCCCGGTGGAGGCTCACTGCAATGGTTCGGGCCCCACCCCATGCTGCCCTCCCCCCGCTTTCTGTCCCTCTCTTCCTCCCTGTCTCTGTCTCTGCATCCCTCTCCATAGTTGTGTCTCTGCGTCTCTGTCTACTGCTCTCCATCTCTCGCCGTCACTCGCTCTGAATCTGAGTGTTTTTCTGGGTCTTTGTGTCTCTGACTCGGATCTCCTGTCTCCCTCGGTCTCTGGTCTCTGTCTCTTGCGGGCGCTCTCAGTGAGTCTCAATCTCTCTCCCCACCCCCCTTCGCTTCTCCCTCCTTCCCTCTGAACCTGCATGTCAGGGCTTTCAGGAAACATCCACCATAGGAGACAGCGCTGGGAAGAAGAAGGATATGGACCCCCTCCCCCTGCCCACCCCAGGGACCCCAATATCTCTAAGAACCTCTCCGGCCGCAGACCCACCCTCCAAGCCCATCTCTTGCCGTCCGCTACCATCACTATGCTGGACCAGCCACCCGGTTGCCATAGCGACCTGTCCGAGCATCCTTCCTCCCGGGACTGCCACTCTCTAACCGCGGGTCCCGCACAGGGAGGACACCGCAAGGGAGAGGGTGTCCCCGAGACCCCGGAGGGGTGCGCTAGGGGGGCTTCCGCCCGCAGGAGGAGCCGACATCCCCTCCCCACTCCCCTCGCCTACCAACACTGGAATCGCCCACACCCTCTCTCCTAAGCTCTCGGATGGCGGAGCCCCCCTGCACCCCCTCCCCAGGCGACGCTCACCCGTTGTGGGGGTCTGGGTCGGGGTCGCCATGCTGGGCCGGAGCGGGGGGCTGCGGGATGCCGAGCCGGTGAAGGCGCGATGCAGCAGCTGGAAGCAGGACGGACCGATGTGGGGGGAGACGGGGGGAGCCTGGTGTTGGGGGGGCCTGTAGCCAATGGGGGCTCGGGGAGCCCGCCCCCGTCCAGGCCACCCCCGCCCCCGCCCCCGCCCACTGCCGTCGTCCCCGCCCCTTCCCCAAGGGTGGGGCGCCCCCTGCCGGGGCCAAGGGGCTCCCAGGCTTTCCCGCAGAGGGACCGACAGATCAACAAAGCGCTGTCAAGGGAAAAAAGCACGTTTTATTGGAAGTCGGGGCGGCATGGGGAGTCTGGGGGGGCAGAGCCGGGGACGGGGGCGCTGGAGGTGGCGGTGGGCGCGCAGGTGGTGTGTGGGAGGCGCCAGGTGCCGAGGGAATCCTGTGGGGGTGAAAAAGGTGAGAGGCGAGGAGGGGCCTCCAGCCCGCCTCCTCCTCCTCGCCGCCCTCCCTCCACCCTCGCCCCTCCCCCGCCCCGTCGGAGCTGCAGGACCTGGCTGGGTTCCATGGCGCCAGGTGTTTCTACCGCCGGCGGCTGGACAGACCTGAGGGGGCCACAGAGAGTTCGGGAGTCGGGAGGGACATCCTCGCTCCCGTGGAGGAGGGGCCGCGGCGGGGCAACCCCCAAACCAAGCCCCTCCCTTTAGGCGTCCGGGGAGGGCCGGGAAAGGGGTTCTCAGACCTGGCCCTGCCCCCCAAACACCCACAGGCTCCCCAGACTCACGGCGGATGGAGCTGCGGAAAGTTCCCTCCTCTTCATCAGGTTCCCCGGTCCTGGGAAGGCGGAGGCAGGGGAATTGAGGATGGAAAACGGAGGGGCGGCCCTTCCAGGAACCCCCCCAGTGCAGGCCTCATCTCCCAGACCGTGCACGGAGCAGCAGGCTGGGGGGCAGCCGGAAATGAGGAGCACCAGGGACGGTTTGGGTGTCCCAGCGGGTGAACAGTCAGTACCTCCCGGAAGGTGGGGGAAGGGACTTGAAGTTGGTACGGGAGGGGGGTCACAGGGACCTGGCTGACAGCCACGAGATGGCCTGGGCTGGAAACCCAGAACCCCCATCTTCCAGTTGAGTGATCTTGGGCAAAGTGGCTTTACCTCCCTGTGCCTCAGTTTCCTCAACTGTAAAATGGGGTTAATAACAGCACCTATGTCACCGAGGTGATGTGAGGAGTAAACACCCAATAAGTATCAGTTGTTACTTATAACATCATGCATAACCGTTTAGCCTGGCGAAGGTATCCATGCACTGCTGTGCTTTAAAATTTTATTTAAAGAGGAATCAAAGCGCCAGGCTCAGGTCTCCAGGCTAAACTGGGCCGCCTTGTGAGGTGATCTCATTTCACCGCGGCCCTTTCTTTCCGGCACTTTGTGTTATCACGCTTTGAGATTTTTTATCTGCGGGGCCGTCGGAACCGCCCCCACTGGGCTGGGAGCTCGGCCAGGAAGGGCGGGAGGTGTTTTCATCGCTGGGTCCCAGGGCCTGCCTTGGGCCCTGCTTGGCACACAGTAGGTGCTTAATACAGATTCTCCGCCAGGGACTGGCCGCGGGTCGGGTGGACTTCCCGCCTCGCCCCGGCGCCCTCCTGGGGCCGCGTAGAGCTCTTACCTCTGCTGCTGGTTGAATTTGCACCGGCATCTTTTGCCTGGGGGAGGGGGGAGAAAGGCTGAGACTCCTCCGGCCGCCGGGGGGCGCTCTCGCTCCCTCGCCCGGCGGGGGCGGGGCCGGGGCGGGGCCGGGTGGGGGACACTCACTGAGCACGATGAGGATGCCCAGCACGAAGAGGATCCCGGCGATGATGAGGCCTCCGATCCGCAGGGATTGGTAGTCTGAGGGCGGCAGGGAGGAGGGTGAGGGCAGGGAGGAGGGGAGAAGGGCGGAGGGGGCAGGGGGCCAGGGAGTAAGAGGACCCAGGAAGGGGGAGCAGACTTGAGAGGAGGGAGGGGAGGAGGACCAGGGAGAGGAGAAGGATGCCTAGGGAAGTGGGGAGAGGAGGGCGCCCGGGCAGGGAGGAGGGATGGAGGGTGGGGAGGAGGAGGGGAATGGCCAGGGGATAAAGGACGGGAGGCAGCTGAGGATGAGCCCTGCCATACCGACAGAGACCGGGGCAAAAGGAGCAAGAGGACCGGAGCGGGATCAAATGGAGACACCGAGAGAGAGACAGACCAGGGGAGGCCGGACACAGTCAGAGAGAGAGCGAGAGGGAATGGCAGACCATGAGCACGGAGCGTGGGTGGGTGGGGAGAGAGAGAACAGAGAGGGAGGGAGGGAATAAGGAAGGACCGGCAGACCCAGCCTCCCAAAGACAGACGCCCTCACCGTAGGTGAATGGGTCGTGTTCCTTTGGAGCTTCTGGAAAGAGAGAGAAATCAGGGGTCCAGTGCTTCCTTCTGGGGCTCTGCCCTCCTGGGCTGGGAGTTTGGGGGCTGTCTGGGCATGCTGCCCACCCTGCCTGGGTCCTCCCTGCCCCCGCTGCACTTTCCAGCTGAGGCAGGGACCACCTCAGCGCCCAGCTCCCTGACTGATCCCGGCGTCCGTTCCCTGTCCGTCCAGGGAGCCACCTCCATCCCACCCGCCTCTGCCTGACCTGGGGCATCCCCTCCCCTCCCTCAAATGCCAGCCTGTGACTGGACCCCACGTGGAAACCCTCAATTTTCTGGTGCCCCAACTGACTCAGTGTAATTTGGGGTCTCCAACTGGGTTCTTTCTCGAGGTTTTCCCTACCCCTGCCACCCTGGGGGCCGAGGTGGGTGGTGGGCTGCCTCCCCTAGACTCACCTGCATTGGCTGTGGCAAGGAGACCCACACAGAGGACCAAGATGTGGCTGAGAGACACCATTATCCTGGGGGGACACTAAGCGTCAAGAAATGTGTCCCCCTGTCCGCCCCACCACTGGGGCCTGAACCCAAGGGATTAAGTCGAGATAGTCCAGGGACCTAATCATGAAATCCTCAGTCACCCGGCTTGGTTGCCCGGAGAAACAGGGATACCCCAAGCTTCATGGGACATGGTGTCACCAAAACAATCAACACAGTGGGGGGTCACACGACAACAGCAAGGGCAGGCCCAGTTTCCCCAAACCTACCCTAGCAGGGGAGAGCAGGGCGGGGCCTCACACTGGCAGAGGAAGAGACAGACCCGTGAAGACAGCGGGACACGCCCAAGTCCCACCTGCCCTCTGCAGCCTCGCTGTGTCCTGTGAAATCCCAGCTTTCCTGTCCTGGGCTCGCGGCCTGACCCTGGGTATAAATATCTCCCACTTCACCCTGGAGGAATTCGCCCGGCTCAGGCCACCATGGCAACAGCCTGCCTTCCCCCACTCGGGGGTCATGCACAGCCCTGTGGGGCGAGGCCTGGCTGCCACACTGCCACAGGCTGCCCCTGTGGGAAAGGCCACCCCTTCTCCTCTCCAGGAAGCAATGAGAAAAGGGAAAAACACCCTCCCCCGCCCCGCCCGCCTCTGGGTGACATCTTTCACAACCGGACAACACCAGGCCAGTGACATGAGGCCCAGGCTAGTGGGCCTGAGAGATGGAAGACAGATGCCAGGGATGAGTGTACACGGGCTGGCATGCACACGCGCACGCACACGCACACGCACACACACACCCACACACACACGTGGGGGGGAATGGAATGAGACAACACCCTCTCCCCCAAACTTCTGGTTGCAGTGGGCGGGGGTGGGAGGGTGCACACACCATCAGGCACGCGCTACTCCTCATCTGGCCCTCCGGTGCCCCCAAACAGTGACGCAAGCAGACCGACACACGTGCGTGTCCAAACCCCACACCCAGCCAGAGCGCACACGCAGCAGCGGGGGAGGGAGGAGTCGCACCCACACCCCCACCCCTGCGGAACCCCAGCGTCCCAGCCACGCTCCCTCCCTCTTGGGTCAGGCCTGCCTGGGAAGCCACTGGCTGGCCATTCCTGCTCCCAAAATAGGAGGCCCAGCCAGGCCAGGGGTGAGGCCTGGAGGGGAGGGGGAGGGGTGCTCACCCCAATCAGGCTGTCCCCTGCTGAAGGAAGGCCCCCAAACGTCCTGCTGTGCCCGGGGGCTGAGCACTTTGGACCCCCTGGCCCAGAGCTGGACGCGCCGCCCCCAGCAGGCTCCCCTCCCAGCCCCACCCCACCCCAGCCCTCCCCAACAGCAGCTGTAACTGGAGCCGGGGCTGGAGGGGGGCCAGGGGGCGGCCCCCAGCCCAGACCGCCCTGGCCCGCTGGGTTAACTCTCTCAGCTCGGATGGAGGAGCAGCAGGCGGCGGCGTGTGCGCGGGAAAGGCAGGGAACACCGTGGAGAACGGGATTTCAGACACAATCGCGTGCACACACACACACACACACACACACACACACAAGCACGCAAGCGCATTGCTCCCTGGGAATTGGGCCAGACTGGGGCCTAAGGTCACCCCAGCCCGAGTGCCCAGGAGCCCACGGACTCCTGACCCCAGTGTCCTGTGCAGCCCTCTGCAGCACTTAGGGCCGATTTGCGGTGGGTGTGTGTCTGCCGCTGCGAGGCAGCCCCTAGCGACGCACACCACGCACATAGTGACGCCCGCATAGACACTCAGACAGAGCCACACAACTGTCCACTCTCGCAATCGGCCACACAGACACACCGATGCACACCCACACATAAACACGCTCAGCGGTGCAGACGCACAGCCGGCGCCCTCACGCAACCTCAGAGGCCATCAAGCTGGGTGCACGCACGTCACATCTCCATGGGCACCCAGAGGAGACACACGAGCAAGACACCGTCCAGGACACTGCCATAGGACCGGCCACTCTGACACAGCCACGAAGACAGAGGCACACACTTGTTCGCGCCCCCGCACGCGGGCACACGGGCGCACAGCCGGCCGCACAGCCGGCCGCAGGGTCACAGGCTGGCACCCTCGTGTGTTCGCACGTTCCACAGCCACGGCATGTGTTTAACCCCAAACTCTCCTTTTCCGGAGCTCACGTGGCCTCTATGACGCCCGGGGGGATGACACACCTGGTGTCCTCATGGGCAGGCCGGGGTGGCAGGCTGGTGACAGAGGAACCTGCACTCCTGGTTGTGTGAACTGGGACAGCCCTCATGACCTCTCTGTGCCTCAGTTTCCTGCGCTATATACAATGGAGGAATCGCTAAGGTCACACGTGTGATGCTGGGCCGGGCTCAGAGGTTGCCGACCCTGACATTGTCCTGTTGGTAACGCCATCTGAGAGACGAGGAAACCAAGGTGTAGCAAAGCGGCACTCATTCTCCCGAGGGCCCCCTGGTGGTTAAGGACAGCAACTGCCCACAGCGTGGTCAGACACGGGCCCAGACACCACACTCTGCAGGACACAGTCGGGAGCAGTGGGTGGTGACCACACCTGGGCACAGGTGTAGCTCTGACACACACACACACACACACACACACACGCACGTATACACGTGGCCTCAGAGCACCCAGGCAGCTTCGAAAGGCCGCCCCATCTCTCTGTCTGAACCCTCCAAGCCTCTGCCCCTGGTGGCCTGCACCCCAAGGACACCAGCAGTCCCTGGTTAATGATAACCCGATGTTTATGCAGCACGGGGGAGGGGCGGGGAAGGCAGGGGGCAGACGGGGAGCAGGGCATCAGGCCAGCTCTCAGCCAGCCCAGCTTCCTTCCCGCATTGGGCAGACTCTGGGGCGCTAACCGCGTCATGGTGGCGTGGCTCAGCCCTTCCTAGCTGTGTGACATCGGGCAAATGACCTAACCCCTCTGTAGCTCAGTTTCTCCCTCTGTAAAATGGCAATAACAATAGTGTTTGCCTCAGAGGGAGGTTGAGATGATTATCTAGAATAATCCTTGTTAAACAATGCGAACAAAGCCTGGGAACACAGTAAGTGATTTGTTAAAAATGTTAGCTATCATTATTATTGTCCTTGTACCCGCTATTGAGCTGAGGAAACGGCCCTGCTCAGACCGCAAGGTGCTCAGGGGCAGGACTCGGACCTGGATCTGACGTCCGCCCTAAGCACCGCCGTGAGGCGCTCACCCCGTGCTGAACCCCAAAAGGGTATGTTGCCTCCGTCCTGAGTCCTCTCCACGACTGGGAACTGGGGGCCATGCTTGCCCCCATTTGACAGATGAGAAAACTGAGGACTGGTTGCCTGAGGCCACACAAGACTGGGCTGGAACCCAGATCTGTGCGACCTCTGATCTGGTGCTGTTAAGTCCCCTGCCCTCCAGAGAGGCCTCTGGGCGGGCGTGTGCATGCGTGGGCGTGTGGTGAGAGAGGCTGCCTGTTCCTCAACTGCAGGCGGCAAGGGGCACAGTGTCGTGGTTAGGGTTAGCGCCGACCGGTGTCATAAAACTGATCATTTAGCCTCACTTGTGCCTTAATTTCTGTAAAGTGGGGATAACAATAACACCCCTCACAGAGTTGTTGTGAGGACTGAGTAAATTCATGTAAAGCACATAGTAAGTGCTCAATAAATATTACTACTATTTCAGGTTGGGTAACAAGTGCCGTTTATTTATTTTTTTTATGTAATGCTGGGGACTGGTACCGCAGGCTGTGGACTGGTACCAACAGGACCTGTGGGCTGTTAGGAACTGGGCCGCACAGCAGGAGGTGAGTGGCAGGCCAGCAAGGGGAGCTTCATCTGTATTCATAGCCGCTCCCCATCCCTGGCATCACTGCGTAAGCTCCGCCTCCTGTCAGATCAGCAGCAGCATTAGATTCTCATGGGAGCTCGAACCCTACTGTAAACTGCACGTGGAGGGATCCAGGTTGCGGCTCCTTACGAGAATCTAGTGCCCAGTGATCAGAGGTGGAGCTGAGGCGGTGATGCCAGCGCTGGGTAGTGGCTGCAAATACAGATTATCATTAGCAGAGAGGTTTGACTGCACAATACATGTAATGCGCTTGAATCATCCCGAAACCTTCCCCCCTCCCGAGTCCATGGAAAAATTGTCTTCCATGAAACCGGTCCTTGGTGCCAAAAAGCTTGGGGACTGCTGATGTAATAGACAGAATCTATGTAAACCGCTAAGGGCTTTGTCCAAATAAAAATAACCATTTATCCATATAGCCATGATTCTAATCTCCAAAGAAAGAACCAAAATAACACGGAGAGGCCTGGAGCCGGTTGCCTGGGTTTGAATCCTGCGTCTGCCCCCAGCTGGGTAACCTGGAGTGCAGGCTATTGACCCTGCCTTTGCTTCTCCAACTGCGGGCTGTGGCGAGACCAGAACGAGTTAATAGATGAGCTTTTAGGACAAGGCCTGGTGCAGAGTAAATGCTGAAGGAGGGGCGGCATCACCGTCAACGTCTCCTTGGGTTGGCGTCCTGACCCCAGTGGGTGGTGGGCACTCGAGGGGTTAATGTCAGGGTTGGGCAGGAGGTACTGCGTTTGGGGCAGGGCAGTGTCCTGCCGAGCGTGGCCACCAGAGGGAGCAGCTGGACCTGAGCTGTCCCCTCCAAGCCGTGGTGACAGCGCCCACCACGCCCTCCTGGAGCCAGTGGAGGGGGCTGGCTGGGAGTGGGCAGGACGTCCCCTGCCCCCAGCAGCCTCTCCTCCCACCCCCCTCTGCAGAGCCATCCGGTCCCCGCCCTGGTGACATCCTCCTCACACTCCCTGAATGGGGTTGAGCTGAGTGGGGAATCTGGGGAGGGGGCTGGTGGGAAGGGTGGGGGCGACGGCAGCTCTTGGGGGCCCCTCCCCCTCCCATAGGACAGTCCAGTCCCTTCCCCAGAGCTGCTCTTCCTATGTCCTCTGACCCCCTCCTCCTTCCTGCCCTGCTTTGCTGGACGCTGGGTGCCCAGACAGCCCCATTTCCCAAACTGCAGGGAGCAGGGCGTGGGAGGAGGGAAAACTGCAGGGAGCTGGGCAGGGCGGGCAGGGAGGCCAGGAATAAAGACACCAGACAGAGGAGACACATGCGCACACACACTCACACACACACTCACACAGGCCAGCAGACGGACAGAGACCTAAACAGACTGGAAGATCGACAGAGACAGAGACAGAGACAGAGAGAGAGGGAAACAGACCAACTCACAGAGTTAGAACACAAAGAGACACAAAGAGACGGAGAGAAAGAGAAACAGAGAATTAGACGCCAGCGAGACACAGGGAGACCAGACTGAGAGGAGGCCCTAGAAGGAGGAGAGGAGGAGACGCCAGGGCCGGGCCAGCGGGCGGATGGAGGGGCGCCCGGCAGAGACGTAGCGGCAGGTGGGCCGGGCCGGGCGGGCAGAGAAGCAGCTGCCTCAGCCCGGTGGGGGATGGGAGGGGCAGGCGCTCTGCTGCTGCTGCTGGCTGGGGCGGGGATGGGGGTGGCCTGGAGACCCCCGAAAGGCAAGTGTCCTCTGCGCTGCTCCTGCTCCAAAGACAGTGCCCTGTGCGAGGGCTCCCCGGACCTGCCCGTGAACCTCTCCCCGACCCTGCTGTCGCTGTGAGTGTGGCCCTCCGAGGGCCCGAAGGTGGGGGTCGGAGTCCTGGGACCCCAAGGGTTGGGGAGGGGTGCGGGGTCCCCAAGGAAACGCGGGCCCATCAGGATCCCGGGAGGTGGGCAGTGAAGGATGCCGGGATGTCCGGGATTTGGAGGGCAGCAGAGGGGAGACCCCAGAGGGCGGGGGCGGCACTCGGGGGCTGGGAGGACGGACAGCCAGGGGGTGGGCCAAGCACCCCAGGGTCCTTGCCAAGCGAGGAGGGCAAATGCCGGTCTCTCCTGGGACGTAGGGACACACACCCCGGGGCAGGGCGGCATGCTAGCGTCTCCTGGACGGCAGGAGGCTCTGGTCTGGGGATGGAGCGCTGGAGTGGCTTTCCCCTCACCCCCTCTGCCCGCATGCCCAGCTCCCTCGTGAGGACAGGAGTCACCCAGCTGAAGGCCGGCAGCTTCCTGCGGACACCGTCACTGCACCTGCTGTGAGTGGGGCCCGGCTGAGCCGGCCGCTAGCTCGAGGGAGCGGGCGTCCAGGCACGCGTGTGAGGGTCTGTGCACACGTACATGTGTGTGCGAAAGCATCTGTGTTCGTGCACATGGGTGTGCCCATGCCCGTGTGGGCGGAGGGTGGCGCCCAGGGTGAAATGTCAGACGGGGGCAGTAACTCTGGAAAAATGTCTTCCTTGCTCCCTTGCCAGCCTCTTCACGTCCAACGCCTTCTCCGTGATTGAGGACGACGCGTTTGCCGGCCTGTCCCACCTGCAGTACCTGTGAGTGAGGCCAGGGATGGCAGCAGGTGGGCCCGGGAGGAGAGGAAGGGACTCCCTGTGGCTCCCAGGGTAGGGGCAGACAGCAGCTGCGGCCCTGGGGAGGTGTCTGGACAAGGGCCCCTCCTGCAGGGCAAGAGGCCTGGCTCCTGGGGTGGGGTCAGGGCTGCGGATGAGCCGGGCGATGTCAGCCTGTTCGTCCGTTCCCACCTCTCCGTGCCTCAGGATTCACGAAGGGCCTGGCTGGACAGAGCCTACTTCTGGCCCCACCTGACCTGGGGGAGCCCAGGGGTGGGGTGTGCAAAGGAGCCAGAAACAGGAAATGGTTCAAATGAACAGGAAACAGCTCTGGGTTAGACGGAGGTGGCGATTCTGGGATAGCGTTGACGGTGGCGCTGATGGTGGTAGCGCCGGTGATGACGGGATGACCGTGCTGGCGTTGGTGCTGGTGACGCTGGTGTGGATAACGGCGGTGAGGGGTGTCCCCTTGCTGCTGCCGAAGGGGGAGTGGCGGCATTATTGATAACGGTGGAGTGGGGGTGATGCTGGGAAAATGGCGGACCCAATGGCGATGACTGTGATGTTGACGATGAAGTTTTCAGGGTTGGCGTCAGCGATGATCACCGGCGTTGTAGGGGTTGTGTGTTGACGCTGGTGACGGCTGTGGGCGGGGTGTTGGGTTTGGTGTTAATGGCGACGTTGCTGGCACTGGGTTGGCAATGGTGGCGGAGGTGTTGGTATTTATGAAAACGGTGGCCGTAGTGGTGCCGGTGAGTGAAGATGTGAGTCTTGGGCATACAGGGATGCGGGGCTGGTGCTGATGTTAGTGACGACGGTGGCAGTGCTGGTGACGACGGTGGCAGTCTTGGTGTTGATCATGCAGGTTGTGGGGTTGGCATGGGATTTGGTGATATGATGTTGGTACTGGTGATGTTGGTGACAGGGGTGCCAGTGTGGTGATGATGGCGGCATGGTATGGTATTGGGGAGAATGACAATCATCGGTCTTGGGGTTGACGGCGGTGACAGAGGCGTGGGTGCTGGGATGTGGACATTGGTGTCGGTCGTAAGGGATGATGGCGGAGGTGATGGCGCTGGCAGTGTTCGCAGTGAGGCAATGGCCGCGGGGCCAGGTGCACATTCCCTGGGATTGTTCGAGGCGTTGGGGGAGAATCTGGCACATTCTAGTAGCCCGCGGCTTCCACGGGGTGAGCTCCCCAAGTCCCGCGGGCCTGCCCCTCACCTGCCTTCCCTCCACAGCTTCATCGAGGACAACGAGATCGGCTCCGTCTCCAAGAACGCCCTCAGGGGACTCCGCTCCCTCACACACCTGTGCGTGCCCCTGCTGCCCCCTCTCCCGAGCTCACCTCGCACGCCGGCCCTCGGAGCCGCAGGGCACCCTGGCCGCTGATGACGGTTCCTTCTCCTCCTCCACCAGAAGCCTGGCCAATAACCGTCTGGAAGCCCTCCCCAGATTCCTGTTCCGAGGCCTGGAGACCCTGACTCACGTGTGAGCCAAGGGGCTGGGAGGGTGGAGGATGCGGGAGTGTTTGCGGGCGGAGGGGACATCGGTGCCCACTTCCGGCTGGCACACATCACGGTGGCTGCAATGATTCTCACACTCACCCCGACCCTGGCTGGGGAGGGGGCGGGAGCAGAGCCTGCAGGGGGTGGAAGCCGGGTCGCAGCCCCTCCCCGGCCTCTTGCCCCAGGGACCTCCGCGGGAACCCGTTCCAGTGTGACTGCCGTGTCCTCTGGCTGCTGCAGTGGATGCCCACCGTGAACGCCAGCGTGGGGACCGGGGCCTGCGCGGGCCCCGCCGCCCTGGCCCACAGGCAGCTCCGCCACCTCGACCCCGAGACGTTCAAGTGCAGAGCCATAGGTGGGGGCTTTCCCGGCGGGGTGGGAGGGCTAGCAGGGGGCACGGCTGCGGGGGCCCAGGCGCTCCCCTGGCTCCCCGACCTGCCATGTCCCGGCTGTGAGAGCCTGAGCAAGCAGCATCAGCTTTCTGAGCCTCAGTTTCCTCATCTGCAAAATGAGGGTAATAAACAGGGGCGTAGGGCTGCCGTGAGAACTCAATGATGCATCCACTCGTGCACGGCGCGTGGCGCAGGGCCTGGGACAGGAGGCCTTTATAAATGTCCACTGCCATTGTTGGTAAAAGACTGATCACGTTAAAAATACTTGAGTGCCAGCTGCTGTGCTAAGAACTGTGGTGCAACCTCGCCTCCCTTACATTTCCTTTTTCTTCTTCATAAACATTCGTGGGTGCTGGGCAGTGGAGAGGGGACAGGAGGACGAGGACAGCCTGGGCCTTGGCCTCACAGAGCCCACCGTGCAGGGCAAGGCCACCTCCGGACAGTGACTGCCCCGGGAGAGTTTATCGGGGTGGAGATGGGGGGGGGAAGAGGGGTTGGGCCAGGACGCCGGGAGCCCTGGGGGCTGCGGGAGGCCCAGAGCCGGGGCCACACAGACCTGGAGGGACAGGAAGGGCCTCCTGAAGGAGTGGACACCCGAGTTTGAGCCGGAAGGATCTCGGCACAGATGCTGTTAATTCAATAATGGCAGTAATTATCATCTAAGCGTAACACCTGTTTTTGGTCTGTGGGACTCGCAGGACAAGGGATTTAATTTAGGGGCTGCTCTTGATTCAAGTCACTCAGCAAACATTCACCGAGGTCCCCTCCGCAACCCTGTGCAACGTGGACACGCTGTGGGGACGAGCAAAGCGCTGAGCTCTGGCCGCCTGGACTTACAGTCCTGAGGGTTTGGGGAGACAGACATGAAATGAATATTCCACAAATAGATGTGCCCTCACGGTGTGACAAACGCAGGGGGTGATGGGAGGTTGGGGGGGGTGCTGCAGGGAGCCAAAGGAGGCTTCTCTGAAGAGGGGACATTAGAGCTGCATTTAGCTAAGCGAAGAACAGAGGGAAGGGCACTCCAGAGGGAGGGAACAGCATGCACGATGGCCCTGAGGCAGCATAGAGCCTGCCCTATTTGAGGCTCGAAAGAAGGCAGGTGTGGCTTTGGGGTAGTGGCTGGAGGGACACAGATGAGGTCAAAGGTGGCAGGGGCCTCACTGTGGCAGGACTTTGAAACCCACAAAGAGGAGCAAAGACTTTATACTGAGGGCCATGGGGAGCCAGGGAGGGTTTTAAGCGGGAGGTGATCTGATGGCCATTTTTAAAAGATCCCCTTTGGGTGGACATCCGTGGCGGTTTGACTTGTTGCCTCAACCTCGGCACCTAGAAACGGGGCCTGGCACGTAGAGTGACATAGCACAACCTGGAGTCAACGCCTGGCTCCGCCACTAACGAGCTGGACAGCCATGGTACTAAACTGTCATTAGGGCTGAGCTGCTGTAACGAGGCCAAAACCCCACAAATTACAGACAGCAGAGTCCGAGGTGAGCGGTCCGGGTGGGCAGGGCAGTCCCCGGGCATCATCCTTACCGTTGGAAACAGGCTGTGGCACGTACGTCCGCGAGCCAGATCAAGTCCGGGACACGCTGTTTCCGCACAAGCAAGCGAGGCGGACGTGACAGCTGTCGCTTCTGCCCCTGTGCCACCGGGAGCTTGGTCTCGGCGGCCACACCTGACTGCCGGGGAGGGCACGAGGGAGGGTGTGGGGACCGTGTGGCCTCCAGCTGGGCGGCTCCAATCCTATTTCCTGGAGGATGGGAAGGATGTATTTTGTTGGACAACAGGCTGCCTTTGCCACTCAGCCTCAGTTTCCCGATCGGCAAAGTGGAGATGATAACAGAGTGTATCTCACAGGGAGGTTGTGCATTAACAAATACGCTGTCTCTAAGGGATTATTTGATGATGCCACAGCTTGGAAAATACGGGTCACCGTGTTGCCGTGAGTTAACACAGCTGTAGATAAAATTCCACCTGTAGGTCCCTACGAGGTGAGCACCGTGGGTGGCCCTTGTTTCGGAGATGTGCAAACCGAGGCTCAGCGATGAGGACCCTCGGGGTCCCCTGGGCCTGCCTGACTCTCTCCTGCCACCCCCAGAGCTGTCCTGGTTCCAGACGGTCGGGGAGTCGGCGCTGGGCGTGGAGCCCTTCTCCTACCAGGGGGAGCCCCACGTCGTCCTGGCCCAGCCCTTCGCCGGCCGCTGCCTGGTTCTCTCCTGGGACTACAGCCTGCAGCGCTTCCGGCCTGAGGAAGAGCTGTCCGGTGAGCCCCCTCCCCGCCCTCCTGCCTGCCCCGTGGCCTGCCTGGCGGCCTGACCTGCCCCCCCACCCACAGCGCCGTCGGTGGTGTCCTGCAAGCCGCTGGTGCTGGGCCCCAGCCTCTTCGTGCTGGCCGCCCGCCTGTGGGGAGGCTCTCAGCTGTGGGCGCGGCCCAGCCCCGGCCTGCGCCTGGCTCCGACGCAGGCCCTGGCCCCGCGGCGGCTGCTGCGGCCCAACGACGCCGAGCTCCTGTGGCTGGACGGGCAGCCCTGCTTCGTGGTGGCCGACGCCTCCAAGGCGGGCAGCACCACGCTGCTGTGCCGTGACGGGCCCGGCTTCTATCCGCGCCAGAGCCTGCACGCCTGGCACCGGGACACGGACGCGGAGGCCCTCGAGCTGGATGGCCGGCCCCACCTGCTGCTGGCCTCGGCCTCCCAGCGGCCCGTGCTCTTCCACTGGGTGGGCGGCCGCTTCGAGAGGCGCACAGACATCCCCGAGGCCGAGGATGTCTACGCCACACGCCACTTCCAGGCCGGTGGAGATGTGTTTCTGTGCCTGACACGCTACATCGGGGACTCCATGGTGAGGCTGGGCTGGTCGGGGGCGCGGGCTGCGGGGCAGCTTGGGGGGGCACAAGCCCGGCCTCACACTGGGGCCAACGCCCGTAGGGGCCTGGCTCTTCAGCTCCGACGCTACCTGCACACTAGACTCTAAACTCTGGCCCAGCCCACACGCTGACCTTTGTACTATGACCCCACCCCAACACGGACACCCAGACCGTGCCCCTCCAGGCTGGCTGGCTCTGAACCACTCCCTGCCCCCACTCCCAGCCCCCCGAGATCCTGATTCCACTCCCAGCCTCTGGCTCTGTGGCTCTGGCACCCCAGGACTTAACCTGGGCCGTGCCCACCCCCACCCTGACACTCCGAAACCCCCGCTCACCCCTCCAGCACTCTCCTTCCGAGGGAGGCGCAGCCAGGGGAGGGTTCTGAGCCTGGAAGGGCCCTGATCTGACTCAGGTGTTCACTGGGGCTGTGTGTGACCAGGGAGGAGGCTGGGCCAGCGGGGTGGGACAGCGGCTGTGCCCACTGCTGACCGAGTCTGCGGGGGTGTGAGGGACAGAGGGGCCAGACATCTCCCAGCCGGTGGCCCGAGCCGCTGGGCGGTGCTTTCTTTAGGAAGATGAGAAAGCTGTGGGGGTTTGGGGACCTACAGGCTTGTGTCTCCAAGCTGCTCAAGTCCTCTGGGGCCACCCAGGCCCCCAGGCCCTCACCAGCGGCTGCCCCCGCAGGCCATGCGCTGGGACGGCTCCATGTTCCGCCTGCTGCAGCGACTTCCGTCCCGCGGCGCCCACGTCTTCCAGCCTCTGCTCGTTGCCAGGGACCAGCTGGCCATCCTGGGCAGCGACTTCGCCTTCAGCCAGGTTTTCCGCCTCGAGCCTGACAAGGGGCTCCTGGAGCCGCTGCAGGAGCTGGGGCCGCCGGCCTTGGTGGCACCCCGCGCCTTTGCCCACGTCACCGTGGCCGGCAGACGCTTCCTGTTTGCTGCTTGCTTCAAGGGCCCCACGCAGATCTACCAGCATCACGAGATCGACCTCAGTGCCTGAGACCCTGGACGCGGCGCCGGGGACTGGCCTAGGGCGTCTTAGGCTCTGGACGCTTCCGTGGCCGGCCTCCAGGCCAGGTCCTGCAAGATACTGACCGCAGGCCAAGGTCGTCCGCCACAGGTCTAGGCCTTGGCCCACGGGACCTTCCAGGCCGCCCTTCCAATCTGAAGCGACATCTTGGCCGGGGCTGACACCCCCGCCGGGGCAACTTGCAGGCTCAGGCTGGGCCCTGCACAGAGCTGGAATGCGAGTCGGCGCCCCTCCTGCCCCCCCTCTCCCTGCTCCCCAGGGAGGTACTGAGAAGGAGACAGCACTGCCTTCCCCCCAAACTGGAAACGTGGAGGAACAGCCGCCTCGCCGACGCCCCGCTGCTCCTGGGCACCCCCGCGGCTGCGGTGCCTGCGCCACAAAGGGTGGGACCCGGGGAGGTGTCTCCGGAATCCTGGGCACCCAGCAGGGGCGAGGGCAAAGTGTATGGTTCAATAAATGCTCTGTGCGCCACCTCGCCCGGGCGTCGTGGGCTCTCGGGGACCGGGTCTGGTGAAGGGTGTGGGGGAGGGGCGGGTCCCGGGAGCGGTGCTGGGCTGTGGGGGAGGGGCCCCAGGGAAGCCACCGCTGGGCCTGAGTGTCGCTTTGCGATTATGGGGGGTCTCGGGGGATGTTTGAGGGATGGACGGGCATGATTAGGAGACAGGTCATGAGTTTATTGTGGGTCTCTTTTTGAGGTCATGTCTCAGAGCATCGGAGGAGATATTTTTGGGTGTTTTGAAGAGTCTGGGGCATTTTACGGGTTGGCTCATGGGAACATTTTCTATGCCTTGTTGGGTACTGGGGAGTCTCAAAGGAGTCTGGGGCTTGGAAATTCTTACAGAATGTGGTCGTTGTACATTATTAGAGGATCATGGGGACATATTTAAAGCTCTCACAGGGACATTTGGGTATTTGGAAAGGTCTCATGAGAAAGTGGGGTCTCAGGGGTACGTGAGAGGGTCCTGGGGCCTTCTGCTGTAGTCACAAGCTGTCTGAGCGCGTCGCCCTGACACAGGGCCCGGCAGACTGGTTTCCCAGGGATGGTCCCAGTGTGCCCCGGAGCGTCCCAGCACTCCCTGTGGTTAGAGCTCTCTCTCACTCTCAAAAGTGCCCCCCGCTGGGCCACTAGAAAACCTTAAATTTCACATGAGGCTCCCAAGGGCCATGGCAGCAGGGGCAGACCCCGTGCCACCCACCGGGCCTTGAGGGGGCAGCCTGGGGATCTTCCCACAGCGAGGTTCAGCTGCCAGCCTCTGTGCCACCCCCGGTGTACGGCCACCTTCTCCTGGCCCCTCAAACCCCGCCCCAACGCATACACAGAGAGTCAGGAGGCTGCTTGTGCCAGAGGCGAGATCATTTTAGATTAAAACTTGAACAAAGAGACCCTCCTGGGAGAGGCCAGCCGAGGCCCTGGCAAGACAGCGTGGGGAAAGGAGGAGAATTCCACCCCGGAGTTCCGGCTCCCGTGCAGAGCCGGGACCTGGGGACAGAGAAAGGCTCTCCGTGCTCTTCCGGCCGGTCGGTCCTCAGCAGTTATGGGCTGAGCCTGGGAGAGGCGGCAGGGTCAGTTCGCGAGGTGGGTGGAGTTCTTTCTTTGCAGGGTGTGTGTATGCATATATGCACACACACCCCTCGTCCCCCGCGTTCCCCTCAGCCCCGTGCTGTCCCTGCCTTACCTGGAGTGATGAGAGGCGGAGCATCCCCCGATTGGCGACTAGGGAGACAGAGGTGGTGAGCGCCATACCTGCCCCCACCCGCCCTCTCCCGCAGGACTAGCGGATTCCCAGCTTGCCCAGACACGGCCTCCTGGCTGGTTTTCCATTGTAGGGTTGTACAATCCCAGGGATCAAAGCATTTCAGGATTTGGAGCCCTCTGGGGACGATTAGCTATGAATAATAAACCCGGGAAATCTTAGTAGCAGGAACCGTCCAGGGCAGAGCCTGGAGGCCTGTCCTCTTCCTGCGAGATTTAGCTCTTTTCCCCTGAAAAGCGTCTGCCCAGCATGAGGCAGGCGTGCCTGCACCTGAACCACCTTACCTGGGCTTCTGGCGGAACTTGCATTTGCATTTTCCACCTGTTGGGGAGAGGTGAGTGGTCAGGGGAGGAGGCCCTGGCCCTGCCCCGCCGGCTCCCGCCGCTCCCGCACTCACTCATGACGACGACGATTCCGATGGTGCTCAGAACCACGGCGCAGATGAGCCCGCCGATCTGGAGGCTGTGCCAGTCTAGGGGGAAAGCAGAGGGGACCTCGATGCCAGCCTGTGTCCTCCTCATCCACCCCCCGACACCTGACAAATAAGTCCTGAGCACCTATGATGTGCGGGGTGTGGTCAGAGGACAAAATCCCAGGCGCTCACATCCTAGTTCACGCACAAGCGAGCTCTCGAAGGCTCAAGCGGGCGTGAGCCGTCTGCAGAGAAGCTGGGGAGGGGACAGACAGTCGGAGGGCGGCGCTTCTAGAGAGAGGGGTCAGGGAAGCCCCTTTGAGGAGGCTGCGTCTGAGCAGCGGCTGAGGGCGATGCGCTGTCTGAGCAACCGCGAGGCCCGTGTGGTTGGAGGTGAGGGCGGGAGGGAGGCCGGGAGGGAGGGCAGACCACGAGAAGCTGGAGGCCCCATGAGGATTTCGGTGGAACAGCTCACGGCCTCCAGCTTTTCCCAAGTCACACCTTCCCCCAGCTGTTGATTTGAAGCAAACAATGGCTTCTTGTGGCCTGTCCTCATCCCCTCCACGCCTCTAACTCTCTTGCTGCAATAGAACCTTCCCAAGACCACAGGCTGCCACCTCTTGTTCCTTTAATGCACCGCGTCTACTGCTCAATGCCCCAATCCTAGTCCCCCCGACCCTGCCTCTGTATCGCCCACACCAGACCCTCGCCCAGCCCCGTGTGGGACCCTTGGCATAAAATAGCAGCGGGGTTGAGGGAGGGGAAGCGGGGGCACCAGCTCTCACCATAGTAGAAAGGACTGTTTTTATCTGCAAGGAAAGAAAAAAGAACATGAGCTCAGGACAATAGCCGGGGTCCCAGGGGAGGAGGGGGGATGGGCAGAGGGGTCCAGTCTGACTCACCTTCGGGGTCGTTGGCGTCCAGGGCGGGCAGGCCTGGCGGGGAGAAGCGGGGAAGTGGGGGAGATGGTGACGCTGGCTTAGCAGAGCCCTCGGGCAGGGCCGGTGGAGGCTCAGGGGCCTCGGGGGAGGGTCCCCTGAGGGACAGCACGTCCCATCGTGGAAATGTGGACTTGCCCACTC